CCAACATACCTTTATGACGTATAGAACGGCGTGTGCACTGTGTTCTGACCAAGGGAGGGGTGTGTGCCATACTGGCCGTTAGGCAAGCAGGAGGAGAAGAGAGTTGGGGAACATGGGGGATGGCGGTGGTCTGCGCAAGCAGCGACTCCACCCCAATGACGTCACCATGTTTAGGGCAGGTTTTCGCCGCCGGAGAACAGAGACTTTGCGTCTCTGGACCTTGCCGTATTGTAGACAATCACAATAGGGTTGTTTTGAAGAGGGCATTATGACATGGTCCCTTAGTGAGAAAAATGGGAGATGGATTGTAGATCACTGGCTCAGTTGGGTGATGGGAGAAAGCACCAAGAGGAAGCAGAAATCTTACATGGCGGAGCGAGATTGGATCATGCAACGCTAGAGACAAGCACAAGCTAAGCTAAGACAAGTACTACGGAGCGGCAAGCTAAGGCAATACGGAGTGACAAGCTAAGGGGTTGCAAAGCGACAGCTACAGAGGTACCGGTACGGCAGACATGATGCCCTTAGAGACATGCGTGTCCGATCTCGCCAACATGGTGGATTCACGGACGTCAGATGGGCGCTAAACACTGCCGTCCGACCTATATCGACACAACGCCAGTATTTACAGCCGGGCACGACCTCACACAACCCTAATCAATTTTAATCAAGCACGTTTTCACTGGGGTTCAAGTATGGCGCTCATTAATGCTGGTCTCGCTCGCTCATTTCGTCGCGCGCCTAACCGGCGCCTGCCCAGGTTAGTCGCTGCATATGTCTCTTAGCCGCTGCCCAATGATATCTGCTACATAATCGCTAAAGCAGTGGCACTATCCGAGTGTGAATGGGTCTAGCGGCCCTAGAAGCGAACCTTTCCGCAGGCGAGCCAGAACTTCACGCTTTGTGCTCCGCAACGTCTCGCGTGTACCACAATGGTCGTCCCTTAACAGTACACTGTGCAGGCTCTTCTCAGTACTGTCAAGCACGGTTCAAACTTCTTTCATGCGGTAAACTGGGATGGGGGTTTAATTCCTTGAAGCCTGGTCTACCGTAGTGTGCGACAAAGGTGTTCTGAGACGTGTCCACAGCCCACAGCCCCACCAGCCCCACTGGTTCAGAGGTCACCAAGATTTGGTCTGGTTCTGAACCGCTTGCAGAAAGAGTCTATTGTATGCTGTTCCTAACACGCCGGGTAGATCATGCCGGGCATCGTTCTCGTCGGCACCACGGTCCACGCCGACCTCCCACAAGATCCCGGTCACCACTTCCCTCGTGCACCATATCGCCAACGGCACATACCCCCCAGAACCAACGACTGTTGATTCTTCGCTGCTACGAGGCGTTCAAACATGTCGTGGGCATATAAGCTACGTTTCCCTGTGTGCACGACATCTACTAGGTCGGTGCCTATGACATTGTGTGGATCATGTATACTATCCCACGCTAAAGCCTGACTGGTTACTCGCTTTAGCGATTGTTTGTAAACCTTGACAGTTTATATCATCCATCTGAACATTCGCCACTCGTCGCCGACGCCCCTTAGCCCCGATAGTACCTTGCCGGAACAAACGGCATTGTCCTCAGAACTGCTTTCTGAAGCTTATTTCTGACGTCCACCTCGACTTCCGTACCCTTCTTATGCCATCCGCTCTTGACGTAGCCCATCGCGATGTTCTTTCCAAGCGAAGGCGAGGGAATGCCAGATGTTACAGAACCTGTATTGGAGCCATCAGCACGACCAGATGGACATGTAGGGGATCTAGCACACCGATTTGCTCATTGCTCGATGGCGCAAATATCCTTGCGCCCTCTATGAAAGCCGCGTCATACCTTAGTATGAGACCAATAAAGAAAGAATAGCGGATGATCTTACGCCGCGCAGGAGCACCCTCGACTATCATACCAACTCGCCTTCTTGGAGGACCCTCTTTCAAGTGTTTCCTCACACCCTCCGCGCCGATGAACTCGCCATTTTCCCGGCGTTCCTTGCCTGTAAGAGTGTGTCGAGATGGAACCTACGAGAAGACAGGGGAAGGGATTCTACTTACCGATGACCCATGTCAAGCCGGCTTCGACGGGCGTTGTGTCTTCGTCGAGATCCTGCCCATACAAGCACATACCGGCCTCAAGTCGCAGACTATCTCGCGCACCAAGGCCAGTGAGCTGAACGGGTGGCTTCGAGAGAAGCTGTGCAACCTCAACCGTCTGCGAAGGCGGGATCGAAATCTAGCGAGGTCGTATCATCAGGAACGTGGGTGCTTGGCGAACGTCTGCCACATAGGCGCACCTCGAAACCATCTTCGCCTGTGTATCCGCCTCGCGCAACGTGTAGGTTAAAGCCTTCAATCGGGACAAACGCGCTTCGCCCGAACGTGAGTTCGCGTAGGTCAAACGACGTCAAACCCTGCAAGTACTGCGCCGCCTCTGGCCCTAGAGCACACGTGAAGCATCAGCGCGCTGCGAACATCAAATGCAGATAGGAAGGTCGTACCTTGAAGCGCGAGCAGGCCCCAATCCTCCAGCACTTCATGCTCCACTTTTCCCTCTGCCTTTGCCTTCTCCCCAGCATTCCATTCTTCCAGCTTCTCCTTGAACCAGGCGAGGTCGCGGTCGCGGCGTCCGGCGTTGGTGACAACGTAGAATGCGTCCTCGGCATGTTTAGTGATCACGGTATCGTCAATGATACCTCCGCGCTCGTTGAGTAGCACGGAGAGAGTGGAGGTATAAGGGGAAAGAAATTTTAGGGATGAGGGTGTGAGCCATTCGAGGAACGCGGTTGCAGTTGGCCCGCGGAAACTGGTTGTACACATTAATCACGGATCGCAAGACAGCGGGGCGAAGGATCGTACTTTGACTGCACCATGTGCCCGACATCGAACAGTCCGACAGACTTGCGAACATGATGGTGGCTTGCAACTATGGCGGGTGGGCGAGTTTAAGAGGGGTTGGCAGAGCGGCATGTGAGACGCACCTGCCCCTAGGGTACCGTAAGAGAGCGGCATGGAGTACCCAGCGAAGGGAACCATTCTCGCGCCATTCTCGACATGAAAATCATACAAGCCGGTCTTCCTGAGCTGTGCGTCGATCTTCCAGTCAGTTGAGTCGTGTGTGAAGTCATGGGAAGCGTACCGGGGTGTCCGCTGAAGTCGACATGCATCGCGGCTTGAGGAGAAGACGGCCGGCTCGGGCTACTGATGAGCCTGCGTGCGACAAAGCATATCTCGATAGGATCGTTGGGGACATGGCACGGATAAGCCGCGCGGGTGGTCTGGAACAAGAAAAGTGGTGCGAGGCGTGGTCGGACGACGAGGCGGACGTCGTTTGGAACGTGCGGAGAGCCGAGCATAATGTAGAGTCGTTGGCGTCTATCTAATCTCGCGGGTCACTGATCGATTAGATGGGGCGTGGCTACTTATTATCACGACGTGGCAGATCCGCGAGCGACCGTCCCCAGACGCGATGGTGGCCACAAACTCTGTCACTGACCGCCATATCCCTCCCTGCCGCCTTTCTCTCACTTGTCTTGCTCATGTCGACCTGACCGCTCCATCTCATCCACCATCTACTGCCCTCAATGGATAGCTCAACGCTCCTTTATGGCGGGCTCGGACTTCTGGCCGCCACACTTGGTACGGTATGTCTCTCCTTCCTGCTGCCATTCGCAGTTATCGGACTATGGTAGTTGGGACCGTCCGAGTGACCAATGAGCGACGCGCAATGATGAATCCTAAATCATCCTTGTTCTTAGACTCGCGGGCCGCTCTCGCGAGTGCGCGCCGCGAGGTTGACGATACATATGGTCAGGCACACCTGTGTCGCCTTTCTGAGCGCACTACGTCTTGTGTTCACTCGCAACTTATCGACAGCACGTCTGCTGTATCCGTGCTGACAACAACGTATTCTGTAGGCTTACACTCTACTCGTTCTCTGGTCGCCGGATATCATCGTCCCCAAGCCCTCTGAAAAGACTTACCGCTCTCCTCGCAAGCCCTCTGCCCGCCTTCCCCTATCGTCAATACGCGACTCGCCTTCAGTCGACTTGACGGTCGTCATCCCCGCCTATAATGAGACAGCCCGGCTACCGGAAATGTTCTCGACCACGCTTGCGCATCTTGAGTCGACCCGATCGTCGCGCTCATATGAAGTGCTCGTAGTGGATGATGGCTCGCGCGACGGGACAGCGGACCTCGCGCTAAAGCTTGGTGCGCAATACCCGCAGAGCGACGTGCGCGTCGTCGTGCTAGAGAAGAACGTGGGGAAGGGCGGCGCGGTGCGTCATGGGATGTTGCATGGGAGGGGGAAGAGGTTACTTATGGTAGACGCCGATGGTGCGAGTCGGTTCGAGGACCTGGAGGCATTGTGGAAGGCAATGGATGAGATCTCACCCAAGGGTGAGGCCGCGGTCGTTGTTGGCAGTCGCGCACATCTTGTAAAGACTGAGGCGGTTGTGAAGGTACGCCGTGTCGCTCGCATCTCGTGGGTGTATTCCAGAGGCTTACTGTTGCGGGCATGCAGCGTTCCTTGATCCGCAACGTGCTCATGTACGGCCTCCACACCATCCTGCGCATCGTTGGGGTCGGACACATCCGCGATACCCAGTGTGGCTTCAAGCTGTTCTCACGTCGTGCTGCGCAGCAGATATTCCCGTGCCAGCACCTGGCGACGTGGATCTTTGACGTTGAGCTGCTGCTGCTCGCGAAGGAACTTCGGATGGCGGTCGCCGAGGTCCCCATTGAGTGGCATGAGGTCTCTGGAAGCAAGCTGCACGTCTTCGCGGACTCACTACAGATGCTTCGGGACCTTCTAATCCTACGGGCGAATCTGCTCCTTGGACGGTGGAAGGTGCATGCGCCGAAGGCGACACAAAACGGGAAGGGCAGGTAGTGTAGATATCGGGATAGTTATAAGTTATTCTAGCGCTACCTAGCGTGGACATTGATGTCATAAGAGAGCGCTGTTCGATGTCACTTGTGTGCTCAGCGCTGGTGATGTTCGGTGTCAGGAGGTGGTCGTCGTGAGCCTGGACTATGAAAAATAGTCACATGCCTCGGCCCCGGCTGCCGGAAAGATGGCCACACGGAGGTGGTGTCCGTAAATGCCGGACCCGGTGTTCAAACGGTCAGCGGCTGCGATTGGTCGAAATTGACCGGAGGGCAATGGCGCCCAAGTGCGATAGAGTCCGCTGCACATACGACAGGCAGGAGGTGTGCACATTCAGACGGGATGTGCGAGAATGGGAAGAGGGCCGTGGAGGTGATCATCCGAGAGGGACGGTCGAGAGGGACGGTCGAGAGGGATGCATGCGGACAGAGTCCACAGTACAGAGCGTCGTTGGTGGCAGAGTGCCTGATATGGGATGGGCTGCCATGGGCTGGGCTGGGTCGCCGAGGCGGGGAGAGCGACTGCAGGCCTGGACTGCGTCGGGCCCATGGAACGCAGTCTGGCTGTCGCAGTCTGGCTGTCGCAGTCTGGCTGTGAGTCCCCCCTGAGAGAAATATATACTCGCATCGCCCTCGCACGTCCTCCCTGCCTCGCCTCAGATGCTCGCGTGCATGTCGCCCTCCCTCGCGCCCCTCCCTGCGCCGTTTCTCGTCCTCCCAGCGTCGGTGCCCTCCCTCAAGCGTCCCCGCGGCCTCTGGAAGCAGCGTCGTCTGGAAGCGGCCGAGAGCTCGCCTCGATCCCCCTGGCCGCTTCAGGAAGCCACGTCCCACGCCCGGCCACCGCCTGCATCCACTTCTCCCCGGCCGAGCCCGTTCGGTTCTCCCCGGCCGAGCGTAGCCGGCTCGCCGACGCCGTCTCTGCTCCATCTCCGATCGCCCTCGTCCTCTTCGTCCACGTCGCTCACCGCCAGCGCCGACGACGAGAACGCCTACGACGACGACCAAGGCGACTCTCACAGCGATTCCCCCCTGTCCCCCAAGCGCAGACGCATCTCAGGCCACTTTTCCCCCGCCCATTCCGCACCCTCGCCGACCTCCGGAGCCGCCCCCGGCTGCCGCTGTGAATCTATAACCCCCATTCCTAACCCCCATGCCACCGCCGTCGCTCCCCTCCGTCTTCCTCCCCTCCTCGCCCTGTCCATGTTCCCGCAGCCGGTCTCCCGTTCCATTTCCGCCGTCTCCACCACCTCCAGCGACTCCTCGCTATCTGCCAGGGGCAAACATCGGCAATCCTCCGTTCAGACCCAGACTTCCATTCACTCCGCCGGCTACGAAGATTGGGAGAACTTGAAGGAACTCTTCGCCAGAGCGGCCGAGCGTTATGACGGTGTGTGTCCTCCTCTCCCAACCCACATGTGCCTGCCTCTTGCGTCCCCACACCTGCCCTGCCGCTCGTCCCGTCCTCGATTGGCTTGGAGTACTGATCTCTCTCGCCCAGCCGACGACATCCCAGAGGCCCTCCCCCTACTCCGTGCCGTCATTCGCCAGTGTCATCGCTTTCTTATCGATCACCCAGATCCCTCCGTCGTCTACACCCATCCCAAACCGAAGCGTCTCAGTCGATCTCCTGAGGGCGCTATCACCCCCACTGAAGAGCGCCTACATCGCGATTGGGGCACAGACCTCCTAGTAGACACTCCCAATCTCACCGGCTGGTCCTCTAGACGCCGCTCTAGCACAACCACGAAGCCTTCTCGGTACGTTCCTCACGCCCAAGTCACACAACCTCCAGTTCATTAACGTTTGGCTCATGTTCTGCGTTTCGTTTTACAGTCAGGCAGAACTCCCCACCGCGTTTCATGCCATCTTTGGCATAACGCTCTTCCTCATGGGCAACCTTGTCGCGCAGGATCCCTCCATCGTCCTTCCCGAGGAACCCGACGCACCCTCAACGTACTGGCTTGCCGCTCTCGATGTCTTCGAAACCGGAGAGAACCTTCCCAGTCGAGTGGGTGGTACCGACCTCGATGCTGCCGAGGATTGGCGGATGGCCATCGTCTGGGGCCGCACCCTTGTCTGCCTTGCCGATGAGAAGGTAACACATAACATCAAGATGGCGAAGGAGCAGGCCGAGGCGTCCGACGCCTCTCCAAACCACTCCTCATACTTCTCAACGGCGTCGGCGTTCTCTATGTCTGAGCCGCACTGGCCCCCATCATCTCCGTTCCACGCTATCGCCCAATTCCGTCCGCCAGTAACGCGGCGAATGTCATTGTACTCCGCCTCTGCTCACGACATCATGGTTCTCGCCATGGATCAGTTTTCCCGAGGTATCTTCCACATGCCTCATCCGCACTATTCACACTCGCACAACCCATCCTACGTTCATACTCCGGGAGTCGCGCCCTCCGCGTACCAGAATTCCAGCTATTTCTCGTCCCCTCAAGCGCCGCCTTCCCATTACGCTTCGCCATATGTCCCCTCCACAGATCCCCTAATCAGCTTCTCCCGACCTCAAGAACTCTTCACAATTGCGTCAGAAGTTCTAGGCGTCGCTGAACGTCTCTCTTCGGGAACGCAACGGCACTATTGGGCGTCATGGGCTGACTCGGTATTCAATCAGATGAAGAACGAGGCCGACATGGACGCTTGGCGGGCACCTATCCTCTCTGCACGCGGACGCTGCTGGCTCGTCATGGGCTCCGCGTCCGTCGACGACATGGAGCCTGCGCTTGAAGCCGGCGACCTAGAAGTCCTGCACACGCCTGAAGCTGAGGAAGCTCGCGAAGGCCTCGCTATGGCGATTTCGTTCTTCGAGCGTGCCAAGGGACACCTCGCAGACTCGATGAACACTGCAGGTCGGGAGTGCGAGGATGTCTCGCCATTGCTCGCAGAGGCCCTGCTCGTGCTCGCGAACCTCACTGCAGACGAGAACAAACGCGAGGAGCTCTATACCCGTGCGCAGGCAGAAGTTGGCGAGGACCTGAGACTGGATTCCCCGGACGCCTCCAGCGGCTCAAACGCCGAGGCTGATGCCGATGATGCGATGGATACGTCGATGTGAAACCCCCCCCTTGGCGCGTCGCTCGCAGCTGCGAATCTCGACCGACCTCGCCTTGTCGCTCCAGGGCGGCGGGAACAGCCTAGTCCGGCTGTCCCCGGTGTCTCGGTCATGGACTGGGGTCTCGAATCTGAACACCGCAGACGGTCGCGTCCCTGCTTCAATCTCCCTTCCGTCACTCACTTCCACTCTTATCATTATTCAATCTCTTTCGGGCTATAAATGTATCGCTCCAGGGTTCATAGCGTATCCTCTCTCATCTCTCGTCTCTCCTGCACCGGTCTCTGTCATACACTGCCTGTTCTCTGTCGCTCGTCCTCACCGCATCGCTCTACTCCCTTGCAATTGTACTCACATGCTCGTCCTGCAGACATTCCTATATAGCAACTTCTTGTAGGGCGCGGGCTCGTATACATTGGTAGATATGCTGGCAACATGGTTATCAGTAATTCTGTTGAGACGTGGGCGCAGTCGTCACAACATCGGAAAGGAACCAAATTGCATAGCGGATTGTGAAGTTGAGTATGATTGAGGCCGCTCAATTCTTTGTGCAATCAGCGGCCATTTATGTATAGTATGAGATAGAGCTTTGAAGTCCATGTCGTGCAACGGCCATCGGCGTGTGCAGACTTGAGTTCTGGACACGGCCTTTTTGATCGCGAATGCTGGAGTATATTCTTATGGGGCTAACGCGAACGTTTTGAGCTCAGCGCGAGGAGTTGGGAGATGATGAAGATGAAGACGGCGTTCAAGTTGTGGGTGCTGTAAGGGCGGGGGCGCTTGCTGGGTATCGGCAGGAGGAGGTTAGGGTTGCGATGCGACGGGCTGATAGCTGAGCGCAGGCTGAGGCTGAAGGACCTCAGCCAGCTCTATTCCCCGACCGTCACCATCTCATCTACCTCACATCGTTGTTTCCCGCTTTGCCAGCGACGCCCTTGTATACTCTGCCCAAGCGACCAGCCCTGCAGTCAGTCGTTACCCGGCCGCCATGTCTCGATTCGTCCGAGCATCCAAGTATCGGTACGTAGTCGCCGTCACCATGCTCTACCGTGTTGGGCTCACCGCAGCTATGGGCGACGAACAGCCACGTCTTCGGTCAAAACGGCAAGAAAGAATATGGTTTTGACAATGTCAAAGTCACCAATAGTGCCTGGGACACCAATGTCATCTCTGCCTCTACCGTACGTGACCTCCGGTAATCAATACATATCGTGTTGGCCACTTTCTCGCTCACCGCGGTCGCTACCTTCACATCCCGCAGCGCTATGTGTCTTTGAACTGGAACTCCTCTGGTGGAGGTGCCTTCGCCATCCTCCCCCTTCCCTCGCCCTTCGCCCCTCTACCAAGTGCTTTCCCGTCCAAGCTCCCCGATCTCATCCCACTCGCCCGAAGCCACTCCGGCCCTGTCCTCGACACTGACTGGTCTCCGTTCAACGACTCCATTGTCGCTTCTGCGGGCGAGGATGGTAAGGTCATGATTTGGAAGGTTGAGTCTGGCGCGTTTGAAGGCTGGGGCGAGGACGGCTGGGAACCTCGCGACTTTGACCCCGTCGCGCGTCTTGACGTCTCCCCGCGACGCGTTGGACACGTTCTCTTCCACCCGACCGCGAACAACGTCCTCGCGACTTCCACCGGTGACCACGTCGTCAAGCTCTGGGACCTTGCAAACCCCGAGAGCGCCAAGTCCGTCTTAGGCGGCCATGGCGACGCGATCCAAAGCATCACATTCAATCCTTGGGGCACTGTCCTTGTCACGACATGCAGAGACAGGAAGATCCGCTTGTTCGATCCCCGCGCGGGAGGCGACCCGGTTCGCGTTGGAGAGGGCCACAGCGGTATTAAGGTGCGTGATCGTGTGACGGCATGTGGCATGGTACGCTTCATCGACCAATGTATATCTTTCCTCGTTAGGGTGCGCGTGTCGTCTGGATGGGCGACAAGGATCGCCTCGCAACCACTGGTTTCAGCAAGATGAGTGATCGTCAGGTCGCGCTCTGGGAAACGGGAGGCTTGGGGAACGTCAAGACGATTACCATTGACCAGACGTCTGGGGTGCTCATGCCATTCTGGACTGACAACAACATCCTCTTTTTGGGTACGTTTGCATTTCCAGGGCGCGACACTGCACACACTGATCTAGGATTAAGCTGGCAAGGGTGACGGCAATATCCGTTACTACGAATACGAGAGCGACAACCTCTTCCCTCTCGCCGAGTACAAGTCATCAGAGCCTCAGCGTGGCATGTGCTTCCTCCCTCGTCGCGGCCTCAGCGTATCGGACTGCGAGATAGCGCGCGCTCTGAAGGTCGCGGCCAATTCCATCGAGGCTATCGCTTTCATCGTACCCCGGAAGGTAGGCATCGTCATTCTCTTCGTTTCTCATACTCACGTTTCCCTCTTAGTCGGACTCCTTCCAATCCGACATATACCCTCCCGCACCCTCTGCTGAGCCCGCCCTTACTGCTGCCGAGTTCTTCTCCGGAAAGAATGCCCCACCCAAACTGGTATCCCTGGAGGATGGCTCGATCTCATCTGTCACAGGATCCGCTCCCATCGCCACACCCGCTCCGGCGCCGACGAGGACCACCTCCGCACCGCCTCCGGCGGCTGCGCCTGCCACGCCTGCCATCGTCGTTCGCGACGAGCCCTCGCCTGCTCCTTCGCCTGTCGCTGCACCTCCTCGGATCGAGCCTACCCGTTCGCAGTCTCTTTCTCAAGACGTGAGTAACGATATTCATCATCCTGAAGCACGCTACTGACACGCTGCGTCGACTGCAGAACTCGGAGGTCTCTTCCCTCAGGGAAGAGAACGCGCGGCTGACATCAGAGCTGCGCGAAGCTCGCGCACAGATCCGCAACCTCGAGCTGCAGGTCGAGACCGTGCGCGCCAACGCTCGCAAAGCCGCTGCGCTCCTCGACAGTTGAATGAAAGTGGTGATCTGTGGAGGATTCGTCATGTGCTTGTTTTCTGGGAATGGACGGTGTGCTGTAGATTAACAGAAGGCGAAAATGTATGTGATATTACACATCTGTTAGGAATGCGCGAGCGAGTACAATCGCATAGTTCATGGTAATGGACATTAACACAGATGCTCATCCTCGTAAGCCTGTAACAACGGCCGGTATCATTATGACTGTAATTAAGCCCCTCTCTGTTTGCGCAAGAACTGATTCTGCATAACGAGCAGGAGCGCATATAAAGCCTCCATACGCTGTGCATTACGGCTCGTCAGGAACTGCGTCGCGTAGAATATATGGGACTACACTTACTGGCATGCTCACACCGGCCCGCCTACCCATTCTGACAACCTCACCAACCACATGCTCGACCTCCATGGGCCGGCCTGCCTGGACGTCCATCAGCATGCTGGGCAGATGGGTGCTATCCGGACGAGCATGCAAACGGGCGGTGTTTGCCAGCGTCCGGTTCACAAGGTCTGGATCGAGCCCTTTGACCGCGCCGGACTCAGATGGTGGGTACAGGACGGTGCCGAGGTCATACACTTCCGAGAGGGTGTCGTATAGGAAGGGGATCGAATACGCTCCGATCGCTTCCGATGCATGCGGGATGGACACCGTCGCTTTCTGAGACGCGCCCTGGCGCTCGATCTGATCTGCAGCCATCGTTGGAGCCTCAGGCTGTGGACCCGTGTAGCCAGGCTCGAGATGTGGGGGGCGGAAGAACTCGCGGAGGGAGTGCCGGGCGAGAGCGGATGAGGCTCCAAGGACGCCGTTCCACATGTTCTTTGCGAACTTGACGCGTTGGATCTCGTGGACAATCGTCGTCTCAGATCCTCCATGAGCGATGATATCCGAGAATGCTGCCAGGAGATCCGCCTCTGCCGGTGTATTCTCTGCGATTGGGGAGGTGGATGGGGGGCGATAGACCCCGAGAGAGACGCGGTCCTGCGGAACGTCATGTTCAGTGTCTTTCTATTGAAAATCAGAGCGAGAACGAGACGAAACGCTTACAAACTCGTTGTGTTCGACTGTATTCTTCTCAGTGAGTCCCGTCCCGATCCACACTGCTGTGCTGATAATCCGTGGCTCTTCCTGAGGCTTGAGTTTCTTCAGCGCGTCATATAGCGCGACCTCGACGTTAAGTCCGTTTTGAAAGAGGACATATGTAGGTTGCGGATGGATATCACAGTAGGGCGGGGACAACAGAGGGGCGAGGAGAGCAGGCGTCGTTTGGATTTCCGGAATAGCCTTCGTTGCAAGGACAACGTAGGAGTAGGGGCGATCGAGAGCGTCAGAGATCTTCGGGAATACTTAGCGACATGTCAACTTCTATGGAGAAAAGTGTGGATGTGTTCAGAAATTGTGCAACATACGCCGATCAGGTCTCCATCCTGGATGGTCGCCGTACTTGCGGCTATGCAAGTTCATCCCATTAGCTGATAAGCAATTCAAGCCGACCAGTGAGTGTTTCGATATGATCATTGGCTTCCATGGTACGCATACCTCTAACAGCTTCATAATTGCTCCGCGCAACAACTGTGACGCGTGCGCGACCATTGTTCTTGAGGATGAATGAGTCTGGGCAGGCGAGGATCCATTGGAATGAGTTGCTGAATCGATGGAGTTAACTTCAACTCTGCACATCTACATACATACAGCGCCCACAGCACCATAACCTATTAGTAGAACGTCTTTGATTGCATGCGTTGTCATGATCTGTGAATTCGCAGGTCAGCGTATGTATAGCGGATTTGTGCTCCGGAGTCAAGTCGATGTCGCGAAGGGCACGCCGAAAAAGTCAGCTACGATAGGCCCGATGATAGACGCTCACACCGACAATCATTTGGATGATTTCTCCGCACGCCGTTGTTTCGTCACAAACGCATGCTACTTGTGCGTTAGAGTCGACGGGACTCATCACCAAGTATGTTTATAGTGTCTACTCTGTGCTGCTGACATTGACTGTGCTCGTAGGCTCCATGCGATCGTCAGTTGCAGCTCTTCTCATCCGTCTTATCATGATCATGGCGCTCCCCGTGTTTCTCAACGTCCTCGCCGAAGAACAAACCGTACTAGAGCGCCCTGTTGGAGCAGAACCCGCACCTCTCCCCGTCCCAAATCCCACCAAGTCCTTCTGGATTGATTCTACAGCTGACGCGAATCCTCTCGCGAAAGAAGGCAGTCATGGTGCTCTCACTCATGACGCGGATATCTGTATCATCGGCTCTGGAATCACCGGCGTTTCTGCTGCGTATCATATCTCTCGCCTTCTCGCTGCGCAACCTGCACCCGAGACGCCGCTCAAGGTAACAATTCTGGAGGCGCGAGACTTCTGTGAGACAGTTACTTCTGTTGACGTGGGCTAATAGAGCTGAGGCATTCTCTGACTTATCCATAGGCTCAGGAGCGACCGGTACGCATCAAATACGATCGCTGAGATACTGGCGAAGTTGAACCTCATTCGGGGTATAGGTAGGAACGGCGGACATCTGACTCCTGTAGCCTTCCAGGAATTTGTTGAGTATGCTGCACTTTATGGCGTCGATGATGCAGTCCGCGCCATTGCCCTCGAGCATCACACAACAGGCGACATAGTGAAGCTCATAAGAGAGTCCGGGAAGGAAGCAGAGACAGATCTCATTGCGGGGGGTCATGTCTCGCTCCTTTTCACCGAGCCTGAAGTGGTCAAAGCTCGAGCTGACTACGCCGCCGCGAAGGCCGCCGGCGTGCAGGTCGACGATGTCGAGTTCCTCACAAAGGAAGAAGTCCAGCAAACGTATGGCGCAGCATACCCCGGGTTCCGCACACCAGGGCATAACATCTGGCCGCTCAAGCTGGTGACTCACCTGTTCAAAATTGCGAAAGACACGGGCGCGAACTCCTCAACGTCTTCACTTTTCCTCCATACCAACACTCCTGTGACCTCCGTCACGCCATCCGATGCCACCTCTCGGCGGTGGAACCTCACCACTCCAAGAGGCTCGATCGCATGCTCCTATGTTCTGCATGCTACGAACGCCTATGCCTCCCATCTCCTACCGGCACTTCGCGGTCCCAGCGGTATCATTCCGACTCGTGGACAAGTAATCGCCTTACGGGCAGCCGTTACGTCCGAGGAGATTACACGGACTGGATGGGGCGGAAACGAGGGGTTCGAGTATTGGTTCCCGCGCCCGCTTTCGAACATCTCAAACAGTACATCTTCGAACCCAGGACAGCAGAGGAACCCCTTGGTTATTCTGGGGGGAGGAAGGGAGTCGACGAGGCCAGATTTTGAACTTAATATTGCTGATGACTCCGTGGTCAGCCCTGTAGTTGGAAATACTTTGAGAAGATTCCTTCCGGCGGTATTCCCGGGGAAGTATGAGGAGGGACGTGAGCCTGAGATGGAATGGGTACGTAGATGTTGTGACGCGAAGAGTTGTTTGGCTGGGTCACCTACACCGATCACAGACCGGAATCATGGGCTACACGAAGACAGGTGATCCATTTGTAAGCTTTCCCCCACGAAACAGGCCAGGAATCCAGTACAGAATACCGACATGGTTACATGTAGGTGGGGCCTGTCCTCAATCCCGCTACTGGTAGCTCCGACCTCTTCAAGGGCCAATATATCTCGGCTGGCTACACAGGACATGGCATGCCACGTGCGTATGGATGGTAGGTGTTCCGACACGAACCATTCCAATACTCCTTTCCAGTCGTAGTGCTGATCTTCCCAATACGAATCAGCGCGGAAGCCGTGGCGGGAATGATCATAGCGGACATTCAGGGCAAGGACTGGTCCATTCCAGACTGGCTCCCGAGGCATCATCTGACTCAAAATCGCGTAAACGAGTAGAAGGTATCTACTGCTACTGAGTGATTGGAACCATACTGAACGTTGATTCCATACGCTGTCGCCGGTTGAACCTTGCTCGAACCTGAAAGTGGGAGCCCAGCAACCTACACAGGCCGATACATCTTCGCAAGATACACGGGGCACGGCGGGTATGCGGATCGTACGTCTCCGCCACGAACAGTGTCTACTTGTTCCCATTGCTAAACATCAAGCTTCAGCGCAGAAGCAATAGCTAGGAGGCTCGTTGCAGATATAGCAGAACAAAATGGACAGCACCTATTTGGCTCCTCAAACACTACCTCACTGAGAATTGCACCGTTAAGTAGATAGAGGGTATATCGCAGTAAGTACGAAGAAAAATGATCAATCTGTTTGGCTTTCCAACACCATCGACCTACTCTTGACCACGAAGTTCACCCTGAATCCAGCTGAACCGACGTCCTTGCTTCCCACACTCTCGTAACAACCAACCTTGGCATTTGTACTAGTTTACATCATGACTAGAGATGTCAAGCTTGAAGTTCGACGTAGTTCGCTAGAGTTACATATATGAGTGCGTCTCCAATGATCTATCTCAATGAGCAAGGACGTACCGGGGAACAAGCCGACATTGCCGTTAGGCTCGGTACCTTGCCACCAGTCATCCGACACAGCCTCAATATGCGTGATTCTATCACCCTCCTTGAACGAAATCTCGTTATCCTCGCCCGCTTCGTAACTGTGAACAAGAAGAAGGATCAGTTATCTTGTCAGGAGTGATACACACAGGAAGGACATACTCGTAGAGCGCGATTGCCCACGACCCAAGATCTTCCTCGGGCGCGGGCTCCGGCTCCGGCTGGGCAGCAACGGGAGGTGGAGGCGGGGCAGGAGGCTGCAAGTCAGAAATTCATTTAGTTCACCGGAAAGACCCCATAGAGACGCGAGCACGTACAGCGGGCGGGGGAGGGGGAGGCGACGGCGGAGGGGGGGTAGCAGCCTGAGCTTCCTGAGCTTCGATGATCTCGACATAGTTCGCCGGAAAGAGGCCCTGCTTCGTCCCGTTCGCACCAACGCCGGACCACCATCCTTCATCTAGCTGCTCGATCTGCTCGATGAGCTCGCCCTCGACGAGGTCCATCTCGTTATCCTCGAGAGCCTCATATGAATACTGCACAATAGCGCAGATGCCTTGACCCGAATGCGCAGTTGCGTCTGGAGCGTGTTCGGACTGGGGCTGGGGCTGGGGCTCGGGTGTAGGGGGAGCCGGCGGAGCGACTGGTGCTGCAGGCCCGGGCGGCGGTGGAGGTGGTGGCGGAGGCTAAGGGATGCGATCAACTACGAGTTCAGGGAACGATACACGGGCAAAACTCACCGGTGGGGGTGGAGGGGCCTCCCTCGCAGGTTCTGGCTCGTGATATACCGTAGGAGCAGGGGGCGGTGGCGGTGGCGGGGGCAGGGGCGGGGGAGGTGGCGGAGGAGCCTCTGCTTGAGATTCGGGCTCCGGAACAGGAATAGGACGGCTCGCACTGGCAATCGCGGGAGGTGGCGGGGGCGGAGGAGGCTACGATAGCAATCATCTACGTGTGAAGACTTCGAAGAACAAGAACCAGTGGAAAGAACATACCGCCTCGAATTCCTCCTCTGGCTCTGGAATACTCCCACCAGTACGGAACGCGGAGGTAGGCGGAGGAGTAGGCTGAGAGCCGAATGCAGATTTCGCGCGAGCTTCCTCCTCTTCCTGTTGCTTTTTCGCGAGGGCCTGGCGCTCGCTCCAAGTCAACTTCTTGGCACTACCAGCAGGCGAAGACCTTGGCGCAGTAGTTTCAGTTTGGTTCTTCGCCTCCATCGCGGCGAACGGATTGACGAGCTTCTTGGGCTGAAGCTTGATTGGGGTATACGCGGTACCCACTGGACCGATCTTGTCCTCTTCAGCAGGCTTCGTGGGGACGTTTGAAGCGGCAACTGGAGTTGTAACGGTGGGAGAGAACCGCGCTGCTGCCTATTTCACGTAAGATGTCTCTCCCAATGTTCTACCTAGAAGACCTTACTGGAGAAGCTGCAGGGGCAGGTTTGGCGAAGCTCGCCGCAGGAGTCGGGCGTGAAGCAGCAGGCGGAGGTGGGGGCGGCGCGAAGCTATTGGACTCGTCCGGCCATGCGTCCGCAGGGGCCTTGCTAGCCACGGGAGCTTTCCCTAATCCTGCAGCAGGCGAGGGAGCCATTGGGACAGGACGTGCGGCAGTTGGGATAGCTGGCTTCGCTGCGGCGGGTGCCGGTGGTGGTTTGGCAGGGCCTTGACGAATGGCGGCCATGTCAGGTCTGCCTACAGGGACATAGTTCGTACCAACGGGGGTGATAGGCTCGAACTTGCGCGGTGCTTCTTTCTGAGCCGTATAGTTGACTCCGGACGCAGCCTTGACACGGGACATGATGAAGGATGGCTCTACGTCGGCCTGGGTTGGACATTCGTACGAGTGGTTCATTAATACAGAAAGAGTCAGAGACGCACCTCATTGCGAGCGCTGATAACAACATGGGTACCGCGGAGGAAGTTGGCGACAGCACTTGAATGGGTATGGAAGAGACCCTTCCTCGCGACGGGCACACCGTCACCGCACCAGTTGATCTGCACGAACTTAGGGAGTTCACTCTGAACTGAGGTCAGTATGGTGTAGCCAATGTCAAGAGCCATGGATAGTCACGTTTGGATCTTTGACGCGAGCAAAGGCGTACTGCATCCTGCATTGGCGTTGGTCTCGAGTACGGGCAGATAACAAACGCTCGCACTACTCACCGGCCGTCCGAGAACTCCTCCTGAAGCTCCTCGAGACCTCCATCTCCGGTTGCTTGCACCTTGAGATCGTTGGATCCTTTGTCGTAGGTGAAGATCGCCCAATCTATGCCGCGGGCATTGATGACATCTTGGTACGCCTGGGCGAGCTCCCTGCCTGAGAGGTTGACCTGGAGCGACATGCGAACCACTTAACAGAGCGTTGACGGAGTCGTAGACTATCTGCAGAGAAATGAGGCTGGAGCAGGGTCGGTGGTGGACGTCGGAAACAAAACAAAAACAAGCTGTGGGCGACTGCTGCGTACGGGCTTTGGCCGGATTCGCCTCAGAAGCGACCCCGGCGCTTGCGCACCTTGGCCATGGTCACCATTCCTTCAACTCGCAACTCGCACCTCGGAACGTCCTCTCTCCTCCTCTTACCTCTGATTGCCTCGTTTTTTCAATTTAAACCATGAAAGATACACCCGAGGCCAAATTGAGGCGTGAGTGGTTGACGTCTTTTCAATGCGCCCAGCACGAGCTCACACCTATATACACCAGAAATCAGCCCCGCATTAGACTTCTTGGCCGGGACAGTCGCAGGTGCGCGTCCTTGCCATGTAAAGTCGCTGTATTGGCTGGTTTGAACATAGCATGGTTCTCGCGCACGCAGGAATGGCGGCGGTGGTAGTCGGATATCCTTTTGACACCGGTGAGTCAACCACACCTCAGTCTAGACGTCACTCTCACCTGCGTTTAGTCAAGGTGCGCTTTCAGAGTCCCCAGATAGCCTCAAAGTACCGCTCCACTCTCCATGCAATTCTCACCATCATCCGCGAAGAACGAATGCGCGGGCTCTATCGTGGAATCGCCGCTCCCTTGGTATGTATCTAAGCGCGGCCACATACCGAGGACGATGATGCCATTCGCTAGGTTCGCTGACCGCTTCTCTTCTCCTGCGATGTGACCACGAACGTCGTTTGTCTAGGCTGGTGCTCCACCATTGAATGGACTCGTCTTCTCTTCCTATCGTTCTCTCCTTAGAGCACAGCTAGACGACGACCAAGCTACGCCTACACTCACACAAGTTAATCTCGCAGGTGCAGGAACTGGTATCATATGCTCGTGTGTCTTGACTCTCTTCTCATGCAGCGCACTCCCTGACACTGGTGCAGATTAATCACCACTCCTGCTGAACTCGTCAAGATCCATCAACAAACCCTCGTTCGTTCTGCATACAGCGCAGTAACCCTCTCCGACCGCGACGTCATCCTCCACATCTGGCGCACACACGGCCTCCGTGGGTTCTATCGCGGTATCACCGCAACTGCACTCCGTGACATCGGATACGGCGCGTACTTTGCCGCTTATGAGGCAACCCTACGCTATTGGCCGCGTCCGCACGCCTCGCTTCCTGAGCAACATTCCACTTGCAATAAGGAGGTAGAGTTGACGCCCGCTCCGCACCCGTGGCTTGCACTCCTCACCGCGGGCGGTATGGCGGGCATCGCGGGATGGATTGTGACGTTCCCATTCGACGTCGTGAAGACTCGTGTGCAGAGCACGCCGGCGAACGCTCCGAATAATCTGTACCGCTCGACGTGGTCGACTATCATCGCTTCGTATCGCGCAGAGGGCGTCGGGGTTTTCTTTCGTGGTCTCGCGCCGACACTAATCCGGTGAGCGACTTGGCCCTGCTCAGCGGTTTCCCGTCAATCTGTGTCCTGACCAATTGTAAACCACAGGGCAATACCCGTGAATATGGTGACTTTTGCCACGTTCGAAGCCGTGATTCACCTGTGTTCGTGACCGCTGTCCAGACGTATTGTCCCGATTTCATATCATACATATCTCTCTGCAATAACATCGCCCGTAACGCGTTGGTGGTCTTCGAGACGATTGTCTTCTGTCGTCAACACTATGGCCCAGGTCCATCAGCCACGTCTGTTTCACTATCCTCTGCAACGTCGGCCGGGACGAGGACCACTGAACCCATCATGTTCTCCCAATTCCCGGCATTCATCGCGGGAAGGTGCATCGTCCGTCGACTGGCTTGCTGTAAGTCAAGCAGGAAGTGCGTGATGAGTATTGAGGTTGCGCTGAGCCGTCGAGGTAAGCAGCCTTCTTCACGGCAGCAGACGGGCTGGCTATGAGCGTACGGTTGGATGTATAGCGAGGCTATACTGTTGAGATCTTTTGCACCGAAGACGTCGGCCTGAGAGCGCATGCGCAAAGGTAAACGCGGCAGCACTGGCTGTGAAGAGACTAGGGCTTACCGGGACTAAGACAGAAACAAGGTATATAGTGTTCAGTATCAATTGGGCACTGACGTAACGTAGTCAGTCGTGCATCAATGGCAGGAGGAACACGTTACAAACACGAAGTACATGGTACCTGAAATAAAGTCACAGGTCATTACTCAAAGGAGCAAGAGTGGCATCGTAATTCATACCATCTCGGAATAGTACATCGCTGATGGACGGAGGTTTGCCATGACTTTTGAGCCTATGCATATAGGTAGCGGACCAAGTGATGCAGACGACGATGATATCGGCCAGCACCAAGAACGCTCTGCTACTGACGACAGCTGAAGGGTCTGTGAGGACAGAGGCCTAGCCAAATTAGACGGAGACTGCTGGCGGCGTACCTCTATAGAACATTCATGATATCAATCCTCACGGCTGCACTAACAGGATGGAAGAGGGACGTACACGACCTGGAGCAACACTGGGGCATCGTAAGCCATGCTGCATCCACCGTTGTTTGGGTCGTGATGAAACCTGATCCAGGGGGAAAGGACCTAGAAGACGTTGTAGGGAAATTCGTGGATGGCGCCAGCATGCGAACGCACCAGTGCCATGATACTTGGCGATACAGAGAGCAAGAATGTGATGATCGCCCGAGTGCGTCTCTTGCGAGCACTCAACGCATACGCACGCATCGCAGTGAAGGCTGTGAAATAAATATATTGCGTTTGAGCTACGAGTGTCATCAAGCTAAGGGAGGCCCTACCGCCGACCGGAACATAGAGGAGATATTCCCCGATTCCTCCGGCAAGCTCCTGCATTACACACCTATCTCAATGAGTCCATCTACAACCGAGACCTATGGCCGCAAAGACTCACATCTGAAGCTAGCATTAATACCACACATATCATGCTACGTTCGAAAGTGCGGTACTCACGCCATAGGACGACGAAGAACTCCACCAGGGAGTCCACCACGCGGAACAAAGTAAAGGGAGATAGCGATTTGAAAGGAAAAGAATGGACGCTACGGTGGGTTTCTGGCCCCAGAATAGCTCGACCTCTTGGTCCAAAGTAAGAAAGTATTCGAATAACAGCCACACTGTGGGACGCGACGATCCATGAGGGGGACGCGGTACTACAGAGCCACAAGGGTACGTACCGAAAGCGGACGCCATGGTGTAGTCCCGGCCCACGGTGCTGTCTTTTCGATGAAGCTTGTTGGGAGATTAGAACACAGCGCGACCACTCACCGTGACAGATCCTGCAGAGACACAGCCATCTTGCTCGCGAGGTGGAGGGCAGGATATGATCAAGGGACCAGAGGACAACGACCTGCGGAAGGCATGCACCGTCGACTCGCGCGCAACGGCACGCAAGAGCTTCCGACGACGAACCTAATACGCAGATACTTTATACCCAATACCCCCCCAGGCCGCCATGGAAACCGAGCTCTGCTTCCCTTATAGAAGATCAAATTCACCATCTGTCTGAAATTCAGCTTCAGTACGCTGCTCGTGGCGAAGCGATGTCCATCACCAGGTCACATCACATTGTGGCCCGTCCTCCAGCAGCACCGCCTTTGGAAGGCGTTTGTGGGATACTTAGGACTAGTCATCGACAAGGCTTGGTAAGACAATTTGAGAGACAGAACCTGGTCCGCGAGGCCAACGAATTGTGGGTCCTTGGGAGAGCAGACGGGAAGGAGCGACGCGAGGGCGCTGATATGACGTGGAGAACAGCTTCGTGATGTTCATCGACGGCCATCTGCGACAGATGGTCGAATCGTTCAAAGGCGCCTCCCTTCTCCGGGGCTATATGCTACTTATGCTAGGAGAAAGGACAAGGACGGGAGTTGTGCGCAAACGCTATTCAATCTCCCAAGTACCGACCTAGTGATTTCGGGCGCCTGGGCGTCCTAACGGCCCTAACAAGGGAGAACCCAAGTGCCATCTAGACGGTCGCCGTGACTTTTGACAAAGTCTGAAGAAAGCTAGAGGGAATCCGAGGCCGTATACTCATCGTGGGCGGAGATGAGCTGTATGCGATTGTGACAGAAGAGCGCGCGTGTCGACATGCGAAGTACGGGTCACTGTCTGGTGGGACCGTACTGGTAGGCTCAATTGGACGTATGGCTGCGAGTACGGCGAAGGTCTGAGAAGAGACAGGTCGAGACAGTCACCGTCTCGTCGTCAAGTACTGATCGAGCAAGGGTAGCGATATGGAGAGCACAGGTCGTTGGAGCAGGTCGTTGGAGCAGGTCGTTGGAGCAAGGGCGGCGAGAGTAGCAGACGATGTGATGCGGGAGAGATGACCATGGGAGGAAGATAGGGAGAGGAATCTGGAAGGTGTGATTGGGGAGCAGATGTCTTCAAGACATGGTCAGTGTGTCATGACGGCTGTCGATGGCTATCTCCATGTCCGTTGTCCTGGAAGCTGGGGTGAGCAAGACAAAGAAGTGAGGAGGTGGGGACGGAGAGTTGTGCGAACGGAGAGGTGGGCGCGCAATATTATGCCTTGGGGTCAGAGAGCGCGATAGGCCGTGGCCATCTATCCGGTACTTACTGTTGCAACAGGATCGCAGTGTGCGCAAAGAGCGACGGCGAGAGCTACCTACCCAGCGCGAGTTCTCGTCGCTTCCAGCAAGCGCCCGTGGCTTTGAGCAAGCGCCCGTGGCTTCGCGCCTGCAAACAACGCTTCCGTATTTCTTTCCTTTCTCCACCACCAGCTCTCCCCATTTACTCTCACCTGCTCTCCCTCCGTGAATGCTTCGCAGACAGCTATCTCGCCCTCATCCCCCCCTCAGACATCCCCTTCGAGCCCCTCTTCCCCGCCGCGCTCCTCTCTCCCGTCTCTCCCCATGCCCTGCCTTCAACCCTCCTCTTCTCTTCTCCAGATCCTATGCACAGGGCCCTCCGGGAGGTGGTCAGCCAGCCTTTCCCGGCTTCTCCATGATGGGTCACCAGCGTCAGAAAGGTGACGCCCTCAAGGAATACGTCAGTACTCTCCTCCCTTTCGAACCGTCCCAGTCTATAGCTGCGCTACATTCCCTCAATCTCGCTCTTGCCTCTCTCCGACCCCTCTATCGCAGCCCTTCAAAGCTATGCGCTGGTTTGCAACCTCGCTGTCTCCTCGCGCGGCGGCTACTGCTGCATCCTGCCCACCTCTCCCCTTGCTGAACGCTCTCCTTACCCAAACTGTGACCATCTCCATCACTGCTTTGCTGACTTTCCTGTGCACAGAGCCTAGACTTGACCGAGCTCGCCAGGAACGGCAAGCTCGACCCTACCATTGGCCGTGACGACGGTGAGTGCTATCCCGCTCCGCTTCCTGGTTGTAATCCTGATCAGCCCCAGAGATACGGAGGACTATCCAGAGTGAGTAGTCCGCTCCAGCACGTCCTCGCTGCTAGCTCACAATACTTCCAGTTCTATCTCGTCGCACAAAGTCCAATCCAGTCGTATGTCCCAGCTACCTTCACCTCCTCTCGTGCTTACGCTATGTTCTACGCAGCTCATCGGACCCCCTGGTGTCGGTAAGACGGCTATCCTCGAAGGCCTGGCACAGCGTATAGTCGCAAAAGAAGTCCCAGAGGTAACGTTGCCGTGTTCTTACGTCTGACCTTTCCGCTCACATTCGTCCTCAGTCCCTTCAAAACAAGCGCGTTTTGTCTATCGACCTCGCCGCCATCATGGCCGGCTCTGGCATTCGCGGCCAGTTTGAGGAAAAGTTCAAGGCCCTTATCAAAGACATTGAGAACGAGGTCGGTCAACTCTTGGGTATTTCCATACCAGCTACTGACTGCGTTTCAGGCTGGCAATGTCATTTGCTTCATTGACGAACTCCGTACGTATCCTTCGTTCCAAACGCGTAGTACATAACTCATACCTCCATAGACACCCTTTTCAACCTCGGCAAGACCGAAGGCAGCATCGACGCTGGCCAAATGATCAAGCCCGCCCTCGCCCGCGGCCTCCAGCTCGTCGGCGCAACGACCCGTAAGCCCTCTGCCTCCCATCCCCCTTTCTACCCTCTCTAACCTCCCATGATAGCCGACGAGTACCGCAAGACGATCGGCAAAGACGCCGCGCTCGAGCGCCGCTTCCAGCCCGTCACCATCGACGAGCCCACCGTCGACGCCACCATCTCCATCCTCCGCGGTCTCAAGCCGCGGTACGAAGTCCACCACGGCGTCGGGATCGCCGACAGCGCGCTCGTCACCGCCGCCGTTTACGCCTCCCGGTACATCTCTGACCGGTTCCTGCCCGACAAGGCGATCGACCTGGTCGACGAGGCGGCGTCCGCGCTCCGGCTCGCGCAGGAGTCGAAGCCCGACGAGCTCGAGAAGCTGGACCGGGAGATCATGACGCTGGAGATCGAGCGCGAGAGCCTGCGGCACGAGACGGACGTGTTCTCCGCGGAGCGCCGGGCGAGCGTCGAGGCGCAGCTGAAGCAGAAGCGCGAGGAGGCGGCGCAGCTGACGAGCGTGTGGCAGGCGGAGCGGGCGCGGCTCGACAAGATCAAGGAGACGAAGGAGCGTCTCGAGGAGGCGAAGCGCGAGCTGGAGATCGCGCAGAGGCAGGGCCAGTACGAGAAGGCGTCGCGGCTGCGGTTCGCGACGATCCCCGAGCTGGAGAAGCAGCTGCCGGCGGAGGGCGAGCGCGGGGAGAGCGAGGACGCGGAGGGCCCGCTCGCGATGCTGCACGACCGGGTGACGAGCGCGGACATCGCGCGGGTCGTGGCGAAGGCGACGGGCATTCCGGTCCAGAGCTTGTTGAAGGGCGAGAGGGAGAAGCTCGTACATGTGAGTCTTCGTTGGTTCCACTTCGACAACGGGACAGGCGGACTGAATCGACGTGCTGCAGATGGAGGACGCGTTGAAAAAGCGGGTCGTCGGCCAGGACCACGTCGTGGAGGCCGTCAGCGACGCCGTCCGAATCTCGCGCGCGGGCTTGCAGGCGCCCAATCGCCCCGTCGCGTCCTTCCTCTTCCTTGGGCCCACCGGGGTCGGCAAGGTGCGCTTTCTTCTCGCAATATATCTTCGTCTCTGGGTTTCGCTGATTGAGACGCCTTGACGGGCAGACGGAGATGTGCAAGGCGTTGGCTCAGTTCCTGTTCAACGACGAACAGCGCGGGTTGTACGTCTTCTCTTTTCTCGACATCGTTTGATCCTGTGGACTGATATCGTCGACCTGCAGGATCAACATCAACATGTCAGAGTACCATGATAGACACACGATCTCCCGACTCATCGGCGCCGCGCCCGGCTACGTCGGCTTCGAAGAGGGCGGCCAGCTCACAGAGGCAGTCCGTCGCAAGCCCTACGGTACGCCCTTCTCCCCGTCTGCCGTCGCACCCCCCGCTGACCCCCACCGCCGCAGCCGTGGTCCTGCTCGACGAGCTCGAGAAGGCGCACAAGGACGTGGCGATGATCCTGCTCCAGATCCTCGATGAGGGCTCCATCACCGACTCCCAGGGCCGCAAGGTCGACTTCAAGAACACGATCATCTGCCTCACCTCCAACCTCGGCTCGGACGTCCTCGCGCACGCGTCGGCGTCGGACCCCGCCACGGGCGTCGTCACCCCCGACGCGCGCGCCGAGGTGCTCGAGCGCACGGCGGAGTACTTCCCGCCGGAGCTGCTGAACCGGCTCGACTCGATGCTGGTGTTCAACAAGCTGTCGCGGGCGAGCATCCTGCAGGTGGTCGACCTGCGGCTGAAGGACGTGAGCGACCGGTTGAGGCCGAGGAGGATCACGATGGACGTCGATGGTAGTGCGAAGGAGTGGCTCGTCAGGGAGGGCTACTCGGACCTGTACGGGGCGCGGGCGATCGCGCGGATCGTGCGGACGAAGGTGCTCTTCCCGCTCGCGCAGAAGCTGCTCAAGGGTACGATCAGGTGCGTCTATCGACATCTTGTTCTGAACGCGCGTCACGCGAATACTGACGGGGCGTATTATCATAGGGACGGGGACGTGGTGCAGATCCGCGCGTCGGAGGATGGGAAGACGCTCGAGATCAAGGACAACCACCCGCCTGACCCGTCGATCGGGTCGAGTGCGACGCCTGTAGAGGCATCGACACTCGAGCGTGTTAACGAGGATGAGCCGTCCTTTGCGTGAATGCTGGGGTGCACTCGGAGCAGGGGTACTGCACCGCCTCTCATGATAGACCGAAGGCATATTTGACACATTGCTAATCGCATAGCCACAACCTAGACGACCCATTGCTGGCCGCCATGTATCATATATGATAGGAATTGGACAGGATACTCCGCTCAATCACTGTAGTACTTAGCTTACAACGCTTCAATGTATACAACCCCACTCAGCCAACGTAATCTCATGAATATTGTTGCTACTAGTCAGTAGTCATTGCTCTAATCACTACTCTCCCTACACAATCCCGACAACTCGGAAGCGGCCCATGGCAACCATGTGCCGCATTCGAAGCTCCCTTCGACCACGATATCGTTCCTCTATGTCGTTGAAGTATCCAAAGGGCTCGCACACCGCGTCTGTAAAGCGGTCCGAACCCGCCCGTCGAAGCCAATACAGTTATACTGAGAGATTACGTTCTCAGCTACCGGCGGGTATATATCGTGGTAAGGGTGACCGCCACCCTTACACCGTATTCTCAATCCAGTCGAGGGAAGACGAATCCCCGCCGATGCGGAAGAGCTCCGTCCTGACATTTTGAAGTTGCAGCGAGCGGACAGGCAATCAGATTCACGACACATACTGTTTAGGTACACATTCTACATGGGCGAGCATAACACCATGTCGAGTGTATAGTCTTCACAAGTGCGTCGCACGGTCGCGCCATACTACTCATAGGGTGCTACGAAACCAGAGGGTACCTGCAAGTCGGATGTCTCAGTATGCCGGGAGAAAAAGAAGAACAAAAGCGATCAGCACCTGCTTTGCCCAAACACCCGTGTTCACCAAAGCTTCCGGGCCCTCCTTCTCCCAAAGCGAATTAAGGTATTCCAGGGTAATAGACCCAAAGATGATAGGCCTTGAAGGGCTCAGTCCTGAGGAAGTTGGCGAGATGGGCCATTCAGACTCGGGAGATGATAGGGCGTCTTCTAGTGTCCGCACGATATCCTCTTCACCGCCGTGAGCAGACTCGAGCTGCTCGCCATCTTGGTCTTGATGAGCTTCAGGATTGTGTCGCTCGTTCCCTTCGATATTTTCGGACCTTTTGCTCAGGGGAGACGCGTGACATTCTGGTGCTCGGCCAGAACCCTTCCGTGCACTCTCCTCGCCGTGATCCAAGACTTCCCCTGTCGACTCGAGGGCCTGTCGCTCTTGTCCATCATGTGCACGCTCCGATACTTTGTCCACTTTTCTCTGTTCAATGTTCTCTAGCGTCGCACCATCTGAACTCTCAGCACCAACTTGAACAGCCTCTGGTTTGTTTTCAGGTTCCGCTTTAGACATGAACTCAGGCGCAGGCGGAGGTTCTGGCTCCTCGAGCTGAAAGAACTCCAGGACGAAGAGTTTATTCGCGATCTTAGGAATCTTCCCTACACCTCCGGGTTTGCATATCGCCTTGTGCTTTGACCAGTCCTAACCGAGATGATGATTGTTATTATCACAAGGCAACTGAGACCACAAGGTGCGGACGCACCTTCACTTGACACTGCTTACTACAGTAGCGCGGTTTCAAGTCCTGCGGGCACTTCCCCGAGCATAACCTCAGCGAGGCCCTCGACGCGGACCATGTGGAACATCCCTCTGCGCTACATATGTACTCCGACGGGTCCCTCTCCGCCGATTGTAAGGCTTGGCGAGCCTCCGCGTGCAGTTCGTCCAGGCGATCCTCCACAGCCCGCCATAGCGGACGATGCTTCTTCGCGCGTTTTGTCATCTCAGTCAAGTCGACGCCCAGGCTCTCCCCAATCTCACGAGCAGTGAAGCCAACGCGAAGGACGATGGCAGAGACGTGGCCGAGCCGCGCACTCTCGCTCGCGTGGTGCAAAGCGAACCCCAGACTCGTGTGCGCTGGCTGGCCGTAGCCCACCTCCAACGTCTGGCGACGCCGATAGTGTCGCTCATCGGCGGTATAGCTTATACGCTCCTCGTCGGACGCCTTGAACTTTTGATAATGAGCGTGGGCGGCGCAGGAGTGCGCCCGGGCCATGGCTGACTGGCTTGCCACGTCGCCGACGTAATCCCTCTTGTTGTACTCCGGGTCGTAGAAGGCATCCAGCATGAAGAGTGCGCCTTCTGGATTGACCTTGAATGTTGTACAACCACTCATATATCTAAGAAGGTCACATGGTTTCAAGTGAGGAATTGTATGACAAGTGGCGTTTCGGAGGGCATAGAGGCGCACCTGACTGCCGTCTCGAGCACCGCCTCAGGTTCCCCAGCTCTCCACATATTCAACACCTTGTCTGCGGGCCATTTTGCAAGGTATTCCGAGCACTCTTTGAGTTTCGCAGGGAGGTCGTCGTGATGGACGTCATGGTAGTGGGCAAAGCATGAGGTTTTGATGGAGAGGTGCTCTTCCAAATTGGGGTAGACTCGCCGATTTGGATAGGTCTGTGGTTGGCCCCGCGGAACCGCTGAAGGCATCCTGACCTTGTCCGCCCCCGATAACGAGGTTCAGGTGGTGCTCTGTGTATGGTGGACAATGAACGTTGCAGGAAGTCGTTGTTAACCGAACCGCATTGACTTCCTTGGTTGCCGCCAGGGACGACCGCTACTAATTTACGTTAGGCATCATTAATGCGCGTTGTGTGCTGCGCGCATGAGGCCGCCGCCCGCAACTCATTTGGTGACTGCGTACCTGAACGAGCGATGAACATGAGAAGTATGATAACCTTTGCATTCCAGCCATTGGGACTGACGATTACTCGAGCATCCTTCTCAGTAGTCTCGACCCCCCGGTGGATACTCCTGGTCCCACCGCACTCCTCCGCCACCGTTCGCGATCCATATGGGCTTCCCTACCCATCCTACCGCAGTATTTCCGATCTCACCGCCAGATTGAGAGCGCATGTATCGCGCCTCGCGGCATGCGCAGCCCAGCTCCAGCCTTACCTCTATCCGCATTCCCGCTCAAGCGGTCGACGAGAAGGCCCCCCCGTCAGGCCATCAGAGCATCACGAATACCTTTTGAGACCATTTCGGTTGATTAGCTCCTGCCGCCAGTGCGCATCCTCGACAGCCTTGCGGACGATCCCTCCGGGTCTTCGTAGGCACCACCATGGCTCGCGTTCGTTGCGCCGGCTACCTAGCAAGGACCACGGAAAGGACAGCGAACGAGATCGAGACTGCGACCGCGAACGAGACTGTGAGCGGGACAGGCTGAGGGAGAAGGGGAAGAAGGAGATGGGCCACCGGCGGGAACGGGAGAGAGGCAGGACGACCGCGCATCGTCCGAGCGGGACAGGCAGCGCGGACAACTCCGTCAGCACGCTCACTCTCTCGAGCGCGAGAACGAGGGCCTCCAGCTCGCTCGCTCTCACTTCTCCCCCCACGTCGCCTGCATTCGTATACCTCCATTTTGCAACATTCCGCCGAGGTTGCTCTCGCAGAGCTGACGTGGCACCGCCTGCTGTATACTTCCTTGCTGGCGACTTAGTCGGATGCCCGACAAACAATGGTCTCTGATGCGGAAGGCCTCTCCCCCCTCAAGGCTTCCTTTCGATGACTGACGACTGGTCGGGCGCGGCACTTGCGGACCTCAAGTAGGTGACCGTCCAGCGTATGCTTGTCGTCGCGAAGGAGGGCGATAGGGAGATCATAGGGCCTACGCTGGGGACGGAGAACACGAAGCTCCTGGGAGCACGCACAGGACCCGACGCTGGTCCTGTTCGTGCTGCAGGCGTGGGTGGTGTGGGCGTGACACGGGTGACCGGACGCGACACGGGTGACCGGACGCGACACGGGTGACCGGACGCGACACGGGTGACCGGACGCGTTCCGCTGTTCGCTAGCGCTGCCGACGTCACGGTGGTGAACACGCCAGACTCGTCGGTGTAAGAGCTCTCGGTGATCTAATTCCGGAGTCCCTGGCTCATTGACTGATATCTCTCGTACCACGTCGCACATGCGTCCGCTCATCGATGGCAGGTCCAAAAGGGGCGACGGACGCGAACGTTATCCGCCCTCTCATCCTGTCGCACTCCCCACATACGCTCACTCCTTCACGCACATCCGTGTACACTCCTTCCATTACGACCGCCTGCGCCATTTCTTGCGCGTGCGAGTGCACAGTACCCAGCAGCGCTGTCACCTGCACTCCGCTCCGCTACATGAGCGCCATGCACATCAACGACCCCTACGTTCGTCTTCCTCACTTCTTCCCTTGACCTTTCCGGGCTTACTCATACTTGACAGCCTTCTTACAAAGGCTGCAGATGCGGGGTCCGAGCAGACAATAGCAACACCACCCCCACTCCAGACGCCCCGGGCTGGAATGAGCACCTCGCCAGCATATTCGAGGCCAGGTGAATGTGCGTCATCCTTTGCTTCCTCCTCGCACACCTCCACTGACCTCGCGATGCAGTTGTATATGGTCGACCGGCACTCGAGTGACCTGGGTGAGCTTTCTCCCGTCACCAATTCAGAAGTCGGTACAATGACAAGCCCACAAGGAGCGCATGCTGAAAGAGCGAGAGCGTCGATACAGAAAATGAAACAACAATGGGGCGGGTTCGACATAGGCTCCGTATTCGCGCGATGATTTTGACCGGCCGTTGGGAAGGGGCACAAGACTGTCAATGAGAGCTGGCCGTCGAGGACGAGATCACTTGGCACGTCGTCTGAGACGTCGTTTGTACTTACGGGCGCAGTGTCTGCGGCGGGGCAGCTACCGTCGTGACTGCCTGCCAAAGAAACATTGTTCTCACAGGTTTACTGTACCAGTCGCTTTCGTGTACTTGCCAGTAGAATACCTTGCCGTACTAGAGGAAGCGGTACAAGACTTATATCATAAATGCTAGTTCAGTAGGGACACCAACTTGGGTGTCGTTATGTAACGACTTTGCACGGTAACGCGCGCCGCTCAATAAAATGACTTGCACAGAAACACTCGAGACCGTGCTGCCCTTCCATGTCGCTTCAATGCACCACGTACGAGTATTATTCACTGCTCTCCGGATCATCTCATTATATAACCAGACACCGCAACACGAAGACATGGCATCTGCTACTAAGTTGAAAATTGTGGAAACGCCGACGGGCAAGCATACGCGAAGAATGTGTTCTAGTAGTGAATAACTGAGCCAGAAGAAACTACACTGAAGTCGACCTCTGAGGCTGATAACAGTTCGCCCATCCAGTTCCAGAGCAAGCATTCGAAAAGTCTATAGTGATCGACTCATGTCCCACGATCTTCACCATCCCTCGCCACAATAGACAATCACGATACTCGTCCGGCACCCACATCACAAGGTTATCGTTATTGTCCGTGATCCAACCATTCCATGCCTCGTACTTCTGAGGATAGAGCACAGACGGGTCTTCGGCTGTGCTTGTCGTCGTAGCTTTAAAGTTGATGAAGGAGGGATGAGCTCTACGAGGATCTTGAAAGTGCATATCTATGTTCAGCTTAGATGTGAGGAACAATAAGACACCACTCGCCTGTGAAAGCCTCCATATCCCAAACAACGATTCGATTGGACGTGTCTGAACCGTCTGATATGATGTGGCGACCATCTGGAGAGAGCGCGAGGGAGTCGATGCTTCTGAATGGATTGGACAGACATTCCCCAATAGGCTCTCGTGTCTGCGCATCCCACATCCAGATCGTCCCGTCATCGCCCCCGGACACAATCTGTCGGCAATCCGGAGAATATGTCGCATTGTACATGAACACTGACCCCGTGTGGCCGCCTAAAGGCTCGCCTTCTTGTTCCCATTTCTTTGTATCCCAGAGTCTGATCGTGCCGTCGCCGGCGGATGACATCATATACCGGCCGTCCTTGGACCATGAAACAGACCGGACCCAGCCTTCATGGCCCCTGAGTGTCTCGCCAACAGCCCGCCCCGTCTCAGCATCCCACCCGTACTGTGCTATCGTCCGAGCCGGATGCGATGCGCTTTCCATCCGGTGACCACGCGACGGAAGTGACCCGACCTTCATGCCCGACCTTGGGCCCGACGGGACACTCGTATGTCTCGGCATCCCAGATGCGAATGGTGCCGTCGTACGAACATGAGACAATCCTGCGGCCATCTGGCGAGTAATCAGTATCCGGTACAAAGGACGTATGGCCACGTAGAGGCTCTCCGAGGGGTTGGAGCGTAGTCGAATCCCATACACGAAGGGTACCATCGAACGAGGCGGAAACAAAGCGACCGCCATCCGGAGAGAACCTGACGCGAGTTATGCGGTCGGAATGGCCCTTGAGACGCCCGCCGATGGATTTTACATGAGTCAGGGTGGACAGCTCGACAGTAGTGCCTTGGACTGCGAGTCAGAACGCGGATCAGTGGGCAACAGAATGGGCAGCTCACGGATATCTTCGAGAATTGCTAGCTTGATTTCGATCTCGAGCACTCCATGTTCGGTGAAGCAACGGCGAAGGTCCTTGAAGGCCTGGGTGAACTCGGCGATTTTGCTGTCTATTTGCGGACCAAAAACCGCGTTTTTGCCTGCTCGGACCCCTAGCGCGGAAGTCCATTAGAGAAACGATGCGTTCACTCTGAACATTCTTACAGAAGTTCTCGACTTGAGCCTTGTCCCGGATGAAGTAGGCGCACTCGGCTGTCTGCATCGACATGTCCTGGAGCAACTTCATGCGCTTTTCGTCCAACTCGGAGAGGCGACCGGCTTCCATTACGAAGTCGTAGAGGTCATACATCGACACGAAGAGGTCTGCCATAGCTTTGTCACGCTTGTCTTGTGCGATAACAGGCTAACAGAATATTTCAGACGGGGCGACCACAGTAGAACGACATGTCAGAGGGGCATACCTTGACGATTGAGAGCAGGACGGTGGATGCTATCTTGGCGTACGGATGAATCTGAATAGTTCCTTCAGTACCGTCACGGTTCGCTCTATAGACAATATGATTGACACACATCACTGATTTTCTCCACTAACGATGCAAAGACCTGGACCTTCTCCATCAGGGGCCCCCACAGCTCGTACGAACTCTTCACGTGTTTCGCTGTTGGTTCGATAGACTGGAACACCTTGGCCATATGATTCCCGGGAGTCTTGAGCGCCGAAAGCGCTCTTCCGGCTTGGTCGAGATCCGCCTTATTGACCCCGCCGAGGGTGGTGCCGGTCGTCGGGGTTGGATCCTGCTGTTGGAGAATGAGGCGTTCAGTCAGCGCAAGGGAAACAGCGGTAATGGCGAAAGACAGCTGCGTACCTCTCCCGAAACTCGCTGAACGACGGGCTGCTCCTCGGGCTCCGACTGGAGACTTGGGCGCCCCACACTGCTCGGTGTGCTTCCGGATCCCCTCGATGACGGTTTAAAGAGTTTTTCGAACCTGTCCTTGAATTTGCGCATGGCAATGTGCGTTGACTGTTTCGAGATGTCGTAGGATGCGGGGGGACCAACAATGCTGCCTTGGTGTACCCGAGGACAGCGTGCCAGCCGCGTGCACGCATGGTGGACACGTTCGCACGGTGGACAGCTTGAAGAACGGCTTCATTAAGGTCTCAGCGTTAGAACTCGGAGCGGCGGACTCCGGCTGATTGTGCACGGATGCGATGCCCTTTGGGGAGACGTAGCATCCTATGTATCCAAATACTGAAAAGGGTAGCATATTCGAACGTCAATGGTTTCCTGAGGTATTGTGAGGGACGCAGCTATATACGTACGTTGTTTAGAACAGCCGGAGGGTGAATCCCCTAAGCTGAACTCGATTGGAGTTTTGCGAGCTCGGCCCAGAGAGGAACACAATGCTTTGGAACGCAGTCACAAGTCAAAAGTATATCATAGTTAATACGGTACTCCATTACATGCATAACGCTCTTGATGATGCACGGCGGAGCTAGAGGGGTCTGATATAGCAAGGTTCCGTCAAGTGGCGCGTGAGCAGCAAAAAATCATTTGACCTCTGAGTTCATTGCGAAGTTGGTACTTTGTCACCATCACTTACTTGCTCCTTCAATACTTGGGGATTTATTGTCGTTACGAAATGGAAGCCCAGTCCTGGTGTGGGAGGAAGGAGGAGGCATACACGCCCACATTGAACACAGCGCCAAAGACGAACGCAGGCTGCTGGGACCACGCCGGCCGTTGTCCCCGTCCTTCTGGCCCACAGCGAAGCAGCGACTACGTATCCGACCGCGAGCGACAAGCAAGTCAAGTCGCACTCTACTTGACGTGATCGCCTGTGCTCACAGCTACTCGCACCCACAACAACGACCAGCTCCCCGAAATTCGACACCTCAGCAGATGCTCTCGAGATTGCTCAGGTACCACTGCGGTCCTTCGCCACCGCTCACATCCGCATGCGCTTCCCCATCCGTCCCACGGCAACACTTTCCATCTCATAGCAAGCAATAGCGCATGCGTCGCGCCTCCCTACCTCCGCAGCCAGGACTGCATCTCCAACGTTACCTCTCTCCACATTCCCGCTCGAGCGCACAACCCCGAGAGGGCCACAGACACCCGTGCCCGTCGTGTCGTCAGAATGTCATGATACCTTCCAGTACTTGGGCAACTGGCTTACGACGGACATTGAGGATCTTATAACGCGGTGAGCTCATCATCCTCGCATTCTAGCACTGACTATCTGGCAAATACCTCAACGTGAATTCCGATGGGAACGCGGACAGGACCGCGATAGGTGGAGAGGGAAGGGGAGGGTACATTTAAGAGACAGGAGAAGTGGGAGAAGGGGGCCCAAGAGCGCGAGCCGTGCGTCCAGATTTTGGACGCGAGAACGTTGAGCAGCTCTGAGTCGGAGTCTGGGTCCATTATACAACCTTCAACGGAAAGTTGCGCACAAATTAGTGTTGGAATGAAGGAGCGCGAGAGGGAGATCGCGAGGCCTGCTCGAGAACGGAGATGATGAAGCTGTTGGAGAGGCAGATGCACGCGCAGCACCCGAGACATGGGTGACCGGACGCGTTCCGCTGTTGGCTGCCGATGTGGTGAACACGCCAGAGTCGTCGGTGGAAGAGCTTTCGGTGGTCCAATTCCAGAGTCCCTGGCTCATCAAGTGACATCTCTCATACCACGCATCCTGTCGCACATGCGTTCACTCATCGATGGCAGGTCCAAAAGGGGCGACGGACGCGAACACGTCGCACTCCCCACATACGCTCACTCCTTCAGGCACATCCGTGTACACTCCTTCCGTTATGACCTCCTGCGGCATTCCTTGCGCGTGCGAGTGCACAGTTCCCAGCAGCGCTGTCATCCGCACTCCGCTCCGCTACATCAGCGCCATGCACATCAACAACCCCTACGTTCGTCTTCCTCACTTCTTCCCTTGACCTTTCCGGGCTTACTCATACTTGACAGGCTTCTTACAAAGGCTGCAGATGCGGGGCCCGAGCAGACACACCACTCCCACTCCAGACGCTCCGGGCTAGAATGAGCACCTCGCCAGTATATTCGGAGCCTCATACAGGTACGTCATCCTCTGCTTCCTCCTCGCACACCTCCACTGACCTCGCGATGCAGTTGTACCTGGTCGACCGGCACTCGAGTGACCTGGGTGAGCTATCTCCCGTCACCAATTCAGAAGTCGGCACAACGACAAGCCCAATACTCTAACGCACAAGGGGCGCATGCTGAAAGAGCGAGAGTGTCGATACAGAAGATGAAACAACAATGGGGCGGGTTCGACATAGGCTCCGTATTCGCGCGATGATTTTGACCGGCCGTTGGGAAGGGGCACAAGACTGTCAATAAGAGTTGGCCGTCGAGGACGAGATCGCATGGCACGTCGTCTGAGCCGTCGTTTGTACTTACGGGCGCGGTGTCTGCAGCGGGGCGGCTACCGTCGTGACTGCCTGCCAAAGAAACACTGTCATTATAGGCCTACTGTATGCGTCGCTTTCATGTACCTGCCAGCAGGACGCCTTGCCATCCTAGATGAAACGATCCAAGAAGTACATCATAACTGCTGGCTGAGTAGAGACATCAACTGAGGTGTCGGTATGTAACGAGTGTCGGTATGTAACGGGTTTGCATGGTAACGCCCACTGCTCAATAACAGTACTTGCCAATTGCTCCATAGAAACACTCCGAGTCGAGACCGTGCTGCCCTTCCATGTCGCTTCAATGCATCACGTACGAGCATTATCCACTGCTCTCCGGATCATCTCATTATATAACGAGACACCGCAACACGAAGACGTGGCATCTGCTACTAAGTTCAAAATTGTGGAAACGCCGACGGGCAAGCATACACGAAGAATGTGTTCTAGTAGTGAATAACTGAGCCAGAAGAAACTACGCTGAAGTCGACCTTTGAGGCTGATAACAGTTCGCCCACCCATTTCCTGCGCAAGCATGCGAAAAGTCTATAGTGATTGACTCATATCCCATGACCTTGACCATCCCTCGCCACAGTAGAGAATCACGATACTCGTCCGGCACCCACATCACAAGGTTATCGTAATTGTCCGTGATCCACCCATTCCATTCCATGTACTTCTCAGGAGAGAGCACAGACGGGTCTTCGGCTGCGCTTGTCGTTGTAGCTTTGAAGTTGATGAAGGAGGGATGGGCTCCAAGAGGATCTTGAAAGCGCATATCTATGTTCAGCTTAGATGTGAGGAACAAGAAGACACCACTCGCCTGTGAACGCATTCATATCCCAAACAACGATTCGTCGGTCTGAACCCGATATGATGTGGCGACCATCCGGTGAGAGCGCCAGGGAGTCGATGCTTCCGAACCAATTGGACAGACATTCCCCAATAGGCTCTCGTGTCTGCGCATCCCACATCCGGATCGTCCCGTCCAGGCCCCCGGACACAATCTGTCGGCCATCCGGAGAATATATCGCATTGTACACCAGCCCCGTGTGGCCGCGTAACGGTTCGCCTGCTGGTACCCATCGCTCCATATCCCAGAGTCTGATTGTGCCGTCGCTGGCGGATGACATCACATACCGGCCGTCCTTGGACCACGAAACAGACAAGACCGAGTCTTCATGGCCCCTGAGTGTCTCGCCAACAGCCTGCCCCGTTTCAGCATCCCACACCCGTACTGTCCTATCAGTCGAGCCGGATGCGATGCGTTTGCCATCCGGTGACCATGCGACGGATATGACCCAACCTTCATGCCCATCCAAAGGCCCGACGAGACACTCGTATGTCTCGGCATCCCAGATGCGAATGGTGCCGTCGTACGAACATGAGACAATCCGGCGGCCATCTGGCGAGTAATCAGCGTCCTGTACACAGTGGGTATGGCCACGTAGAGGCTCTCCGAGGGGTTGGAGCGTAGTCGAGTCCCATACACGAAGGGTACCATCCCACGACGCGGAAACAAAGCGACCGCCATCCGGAGAGAACCTGACGCGACTTATGAGGTCGGAGTGGCCCTTCAGACGCCCGGCAATGGAATTTCCAGTGTCTGCATCCCACACGTTGATTGTGCCATCATAAGAGCCCGATATAATCCTATGTCCGTCAGACGAGTACGCGAGCGAGGTCACAGAGTTCGTGGGGGCAGAATCTGATGAATCAGAAGAGATATTGCCAGGGCTCTCCACGCTCTCCCTCTCCTCTGCGGACCATATCCGTAGTGTCGCATCAGACGAGCCCGACACGACGTGGCGACCGTCAGGTGAAAAGCTAACAGCGTATACGTAGCTGCCGCGCCCATTGAATGGCCCCCCGACAATCCCGCATGTCTCTGAATCCCATATCAGGACGCTCCCGTTTGCAGATCCAGACACGATGCGCCTGCCGTTGGGAGAGAGCGAGAGAGACCATACGTCACCGAGGAGGTGGTGGGATATCGTCCTCAACGTCTGTTGGGTCTCGAAGTCCCAGATCCTGATTGTCTTGTCAAGCGATCCCGAGACAATCCGAAGACCATCCGGTGAGAAAAGGACACAACTGACAGCTCCCGTATGAACTTCGAAGGGTTTCTCCACCGCCCCTCCTTCTACGGTGTCCCAAACCCGTACCGTGCCATCGTCAGCACCCGACGCGATGTATCGACTAGTCGGAGAGAAGGCGATGCAGCCAACGAAGGATGAATGGACACGGATAGGCTCATGAACCACCCCGAGCGTTTCCGTGGACCAGATGCAAATACGGCCGTTGTCATCGCCGGATACAATGCGACGTCCATCTGGAGAGTACGCGATGCACAGCACAGCGCCGTCATGGCCATGTAGAGGTTCACCAACAGCCTCCCATGTCGTGGAATCCCATATACGCACCGTCCAATCTTCCACCGCTGCGGCAACGCGACGGCCATCCGGCGAGAAAGCAACCCCGAAACCCGCGAAGCGGCAAGAGAGCTTACAGATTGCTTCGCCCGTCTCCGCATCCCATACTCGCACCGTATCGTCCCAAGATCCTGACACAATGTGCCGTCCGTCAGGGGAGTATGCCACGGAACGAACAGCGCCTGTGTGCCCCGAGAGGACCGCATGAGCCTGCGGCCAACGGTCACGAACGCTATCGACGAGCGGAAGATAGGGGAAATATGGGAGATAATTGGACCGGACCCTGGACGACGTCGGAGAGAAGGGCAGAGCTGAGATGTAGACGTGAGGAGCGGCTTGGGCTATGACACCGGCAAACCGGCGAATGAAGGAGATCGCGTCGAGCAATAGCTCCTTTGATTGATCACTTCCTGAGTTCTACAACAATCGTCAGTCAGATAAAAGCATACATGGGTCACGTACAACGACCACGCTCACATTGTACCACCTGAGGGCTGCTTCCAACGAGGGGGCCGCGCGATTGACGGACTTGAGTAGGCTGAGCAATTCGACCCAGAACAGAAGCTTCTCTTGCAGAAACTTGCTCAGTTCTTGTTGCAGGTCTGGAGGATGAGTGGTGATGAGGTGTTCCTTCCAGTTACAAGACGCGTATGATAGGCTTTGAGGTACGAAGGTGGAAATGCGGGATTCGAGATTGGAAATGTCACGGTTGGGGATGTAGGACGTGTCCAAGCGGCAGATGTTGAACGACAGTCGAATGTTCATGATTCGGAAGCAACCGAGCGCCATAACGGGATGTCCCGCCGTCAAGTCGACGAACCACTCCCCGCTTCTGGCCTCGTCAGTCAAGAAGTCGCGGAACGACGTGTGATGCGGACGGATCAGGGTTTTTTCGTTGTATACTCCCCATAGAAGGGAGCCCATGTGCTTCACTATCAGGTAGACGTCGTCCTCCTCAACACCGATCGCGACACGACGCATCTCTTCCAGGGATTCAACCGACAGCGGGGAGGAGGCGCAGAACACCTGGGCCATGACAGAACGGAAGCGTTCCATGAGATCTTCATCGTCTGATGCGAACAGGTCCCCTAGGATGGTTCGATAGAGGCCGTCCAGGGAGGTCGCGCCCCCTCGCGATACCGCGTCCAGAAACGATACAAACCGTTTCTTCAGAGTGCGACCCGCCGGCTTTTGAAGAATAGCCCGGCAAGCCGTCGCCGCCCACTGAAACAGGCCCTCCGCCTTTTCAGCCAGCTTCCGAATGTCGGTATCATCCAATGCGGCCTCGGTTCCAGAAAGAAGCTCGTGACGCACGTATTGCTCGATGTCCCGGGCTGCCTCATCGTGGTTGTCGTCGAGTATCATCTGACTTATATGCGGATGGCCGTCCTGGGAGCGGTCTACGACATCAGGCTCGGGACGGGACGTGAAGAGGATGCGGAAGTGGGAAGGAAGTTGCTTGGAACCCTCCGTGAGATGCTTCAACAGCAGACGGCGTTCGGGCGCATCGGGGGAGCTGCTCTCATCGAATGCGTCGATGACAACAAGCACTGGTCCATCCAAGCTAATTTTCTCGAGCGGCTTGACAATCAGCTCCTTCCACTGCGTCGCGATGTCGACCGACCCGACGAGGCCACCCTGATCATGGAGGACGTTGGCGAGCGCATGTCGGAAGTCGCGATTCCAGTCCGCAAGATCGCGCGCAATGGTACCAATGACAGAGGTGAGACGACGTTCCGCTTGGTAGCTACGGTTGAAGCAGAAGAAGGAGCCTAGGCGGCGACAGGCCTTGAACTCTACGCCAATGGAATGGGCGATGGAGGACTTGCCGGTCCCAGCACCGCCGAGGAGGAAGAGAACCCGGGGGGCATCGGGGTTACGGTGATTGATCCACTCTCGGAGCGCCTCCAGAGTTTTCACACGCGTGCCTTCAAGACACGCTCTGCCCGAATCGAGTCCTGCACCGCGTACATGGGTCAAGCTGTCGATTTTGCCTGAAGCCGTCGGTGAGAACGAGGGTCATAGGAAGTGAAGAGAACTTACTCAGATCAGCAAGATTTGCCACACGGATCTCAGTTTCGAGCGTTCCCCCTTCGGTAAAACGCCTGCGAAGGTCCATGAAAGCCTCAGTGAACTCGCGTACTTTCTCGTCTACTCGCGAACCCGAGATGACATTGCTTCCAGCTCGGATCCCTGGGGGGCAACTTCAGTACGCGTCATAACAAGGCCTCAGCAATCACGTCCTCACAGAAATTCGTAAAACGGGCCTCGTCCTGGATGAACTCCGCGCACTCCTGCGTCTTTTTCGACATATCCTTCAACAGCCTTTTGCGATATTCGTCCAAATCTGTGAAACGACCAGTCTTGTTCACGAGTTCGTAGAGGTCGTCCATCGCTTTGAGAAGATCAGCCATTGCGTTGTCACGTTTGTTCTGATCAATCACAGGCTGAAGGGGATGTCTTAGATCCGCGACGGGAGTAGGATGATGGGCGGAGACAGCGTACATTGACCACCGAAAGGAGGACAGTGGATGCGATCTTGGCGTAGGGATGGAGCTGAGCATGTTCTTGAGCATGGTAGAGAATCCATATACCGTAGGTACCGACGTACGTCTCCTATGCTTTCGACAAGCGATGCAAAGATCTCCACTTTCTCCAGTACAGGCTTCCACAGCTCGTACGCGCTTTCAACAGCTTCTGGCGTTGCCTCGATGGCCGTCGCCCCTTTGGCCACGATTGTATTAGGTGAGCTAAGAGGGGCCAATGCTGTACGACCGTCGTCGACGGCTGTCCTTATTTGAGCCACATCCTCAGCGGGGCGTGTTGTGAGAGCTACGTCCTGCGTTTCCTTGAGTGAGACGTCCAATGAGATCCAGGAAGACACGGAACATGTTGACAGAGTACTACGTACTTTCTTCGAAGCCTCATGAGCGACCTCCGTGCGACCGACATCTGTAGATAGCGCATCGATAGACGCAACTCCGGCTTCATCCGTAGATGGTTGAGAGGATCGCTTGATGTGTTTGCGCAACTTGTTCTTGAATTTGCGCATGACTGGCTTCATTGGTGGTCCGAGGCTGTTATGGGATGTCGGCTGGTGGTCGGTGCAGAATCAGCCTGACTGAGGGCAGGGAGCCCGCTGGCATCATGGGAACGTGGTGGACGAGACCACGAGGCGTATACTAGGTTTCGGCGGCAGAGGTGCGTCGGGTCTGATCGAGTATCACTGGAAGTGACGTCTGGGCGGAGAACGCATCTCTGCTAAGTATCAACAAGAGAACCAGAAGCTTGGCATCGTGGAGTGTCAGAGACCTATAGTGATTACATTCTGAGATAGTCCCGAATCCTACTCGAAAGTCCCGATCCGAGTTGTAGACGGAACAAGTCATGTGCGGTGTGTTCCATTCCAGGCACAAGATCCGAACATAAAATCCCGGAGAACGGGAGCGTAGTGGAAATGAGGTCTGTCAAGTCAGGTTCTGTCAAGTGGAAGCAAGCAAGCGACAATTGAGCACCGTGCGCGTAAGCTGCGAGCTGTGAGATCAGTATTTTGTAGCATTATGAAGGATGCAGTTATGGTTACGACAGCCACAAAATCATCGCCAACAAGTTGGGCTGTGTTGAAGCTTGTCCCAATGCAGGAACACAACGCTCTCGATGCAAGCGATACATAGATATAATCGCATTGATCATGGTACAAGCACAAGGAAACTAATTGAACGGGGCTTGGAGGTGTTGATTGGAACAAGACACGCTACACAAAACGCAGCGCTCACCTCTGAGTCCCATCGCACCTCTATACCACCACTGTACCCCTTCATGCTTAGCCTGCAGCATCAACGTCCTGACTGAGCTCCGTTGACCGTCATGCAGAGCCATCCAGAAAAGCAGCGGAAGCCTAGTCGGGGTGCGGAAGCCGGAAGGAAGAGTCTCAGAGCAGATGCCCATTAGGAGGACGGCCCGATAGAGGAACCTCGGTGCTTTCTCCAGCCACGGTCGGCCGTTCTCGCCCACAACCCAATCAGCGACGGCGTACCTCACCGAGCGAGAAGGACGTCTTGATAACCTCCGCTTTGCAGCCACTCGCACTGACGACAACGACCAGGCTCAGCTTTCCCAATATCAACGCCTCGGCATTTTCACGACTGTTCTAGGCTCAGTCCCACCGCCCTCCTCCGCCACCGTTCGCATGCATATGCGCTGCTCCGCCTATTCTGTCGCACCATTTCTCATCTCATAGCGAAAGCGAGGGCGCACGCATCGCGCCTCGCTGACTTCGCAGCCAGAAGTACATTTCCAACCGCACAGTGAGATACACATCAACAACCTGTAGCGCCCCGCACCCGCGAAGTGAGGTGACGCGCTCGCTGGCCCGAAGGGGTAGGTGGCGCGTCACGAGAGGGAGAGAGGTTCGCTCGAGGGATAGACAGGGTATGAGTATCTCGATTGAACGCTGGGGTTTGTACATACAGATCTGGGTTTATATACGGTTCACGGGCGCTATAACAGCTCTAAGGTTCGGGAACACACGGTACAGATAAGAGTTAGATAGGAGAAGCTAGGATTAGGAAGGGGCCAATCCCGAAGCACAACGTCGATCAGGTACGGAGGGGGAGAAGAGAAGTAGCGCGCGACGCGGGCGCTACATACGCCCTCCTGGACGACCGCGCCGGTGCGGGGGCGGGGCGTCCATGTTCAGGACGCGTTCGCGTCGCCCTCGGTCGCGACGGGGTTGAATTCCATGGCCGCGTCCTCTCCGTCCGCGTGAGTGGTCTCGGAAGCGAAGTCCGGGACGTTGAGGAGTTGAGAAAGGCCGATGTCCGCCCCCGGGGAACCCGCGTTCGAGGGAGACCCCGCCTCGAAACCCAGGTCGAGACCTGCTTGGTTTTGGAGGTCGAGGGTAGTGGCCAGGGCCGAAGCGACCTTGCGCATGGCCGAGGAGTGGGCCCCGAGACGGGCCTTGCTCTTGCGACGAGCCTCGCGCCCTTCGTACTGACGGCGAGACTTCTCGACGCGGCCGGACTCGCGCATGGCGGCGTCGGCCTTGAGCCTCTCCAAGAGCTGTCGCTCTTCGCGGGAGAGCTTGAACCGGTCTTCTAATTTCTCCTCGCGTAGGAGCGTGGGATAGAGGAGCTCGGCGGGCGGGGGAGGGCGCGTGGTGAGTATTATAGCGCCCGAGTTGGGATCGACCGACGAGAACCCGTACAGGCTGTGTGCGTCCTCGTTCCATATGGCCACGAACGTGTCTATTCCGGCCGGTATCGGGTGCTCGGCGAAATCGAAACTTTTGCCCCCGCTGACCAGCTCCCGCAGGTGAGTCTCGTGTTCGAGGTACAAGCGGAGGAGTTGAGCGGGGTAGACGTGGATCCCGGAAAGGTGGGCGGACGTGAGAAGTAGATCTCCGCCCGGGCAGAGGGTTGAGTGGACGTGCATGGTGAGCAGTGGTGGCCTGGAGGTTGGGACGGCGGCGTCGGCGTTGACGAGGAGAGCTGGCAGGCGGCGGATGATCGAGAACAGGGGGCTGGGGTGAAGAATGCGGTGAGTCGACGTACCTGTTATATTCCTGGCAGACCTGGCTGATAAGGCTCTGCAGGAATACGTCGACATGACCCGAAAAGATCTGTGGGTCGCCAGGCGGTGGCGTCCCCGAGCCCTCGGGGAGCTGATCGACTGACTCTAGTCCTAACGCCTCCAGGTACATTCTTAACGCACCTAACGGTTCAGCCGTCCGATAAGGAATCCAAGTCCGGTCCCCGGACTTCCACTCGGCTTCGAAAATCGCGTCAGTTCCTTTACCGACGTGTCCGATGATTTTACTAACAGCCCACTCATTGTCGGGGTCCTCAATCTCAAACACCTGAGTGTCCAGACGGCCAGGAAAAAGGCGGTCGTCATTGGGTTCGTGGATACGCAACAGGGACGCGTGAAAAACATCGTGAATGCCCCTCCTCCTCAAGCTAGGAGGGAGTTCTACTCGGAAGGAGGAGTTATGGTAGTCCCGTACGATGCGGTATGGTCCGATAAATTTCGGAGCCAGCTTACGAGCCAATCCCTTAGGTAGGGAAATGTTTTTAGTAGAAATATAGACCAGGTCCCCTTCCGAGAATGGAGCCGGCCTTCTACGGCGGTTAGCGTCACGGACATGCTTGGTCCTGGCCGCGATCACACTGTCATGCGCCGCCATGATGGCTGATTTGACTTTTTGTGCGTAGATACGTACCCCAGGGTACTCGTCCTTGGCTGGGCGATCCCAAATCATAGGGCGGGGCATACGGCCAGTGTTGAGGAAGAATGGGGCGAAACCGGTGGTGTCCGATCGCGCCATGTTAATGGCAAACTCGATGCCCGGCAACCGAGCTACCCAGTCCCTTTGGTCAGGTTTGATACATTGTCTTAGCATCTGAGATACAGTGCGGTTTGCACGCTCCGTGGAACCGTCGGACTCTGGGTGATAAGCACTAGACATCCGCAATTCCACGCCAATAAGCTTGTGCAGGTGTGACCAGAAGGTACTGGTGAACAAAACGTCGTGATCGCTGACAATAGCCTTGGGTAGCCCATGTAACTTATAGACTTCCGAGAAGACAAGCTCAGCAACATCTCGTGCGCGATAAGTCGTCTTAGAGGGAATCAGATGCACCATTCCTGTCAAGAGGTCGATCACGGTGGTGATCGAGTCGTAGGTACTATCTCTGTCCTTAGACTCAGGAAGGGGTCCCACGAAATCCATTCCGATCGCTTCCCAAGGCACGGCCGGAACTGGTAACGGGTTGAGGAGGCCATACGGCTTCTGGTTAGCTGGCTTACTGCGTTTACAAGTCTTACATGAGTCACAGTACGACTGCACGTCAGGGAGAAGGGTTTTCCACCAGACGTGGTCACGTAGAAGATCAGCTGTCTTTCGAGGTCCCAGGTGCGCTAACAAAGAATGGGCATGAGAGATAACAATCTCCCTAGCGCTGCGCCCGTTGACTATGATGTGTGGGACACACAGAAGCTCACTGTCACGAACCGCCCTCACGGTGCTACGTTTCCTTTTCGATTCGGACCATTGCCTCGTACGTTCCCTTATTGTTCACTACTCGCTATGGTTTCCCTTTGTCTACACACGGACAATAGTTCCCTTTGTCCCCATGTCCGCTATTGTCCTACACCCCTTGTACTCCGTACCCATGGCGACGCTATTGTTCTCTAGCGCCCATTGTTCGTTCCCTGTATATAGCTGGATCCCTTGCTACCTGGAGACTCTAGTTTCGACCTCTTGTCTCCAGGTAAGCCATCGTGTATTTCGCTCTGTAGATACTTCGCTCAATACACAACTTGTCTCCAGTCCTGCCTGTTGAGCTCCGCTCCAGTCTCACTGTGATCAGAGCTCGTCGGCGCTCCTGCCTGCCTCGCTCGTCTCCGCTTATTCGCTCGACAGTCAG